GGCGGACAAACCTAGACCATGAGGGTTGGCTCAAATTCTATAATTTGGCCCCTAAAATTTATACTTTGATCGGATATTTGTAATGATACAATTCAAGACAATCCAGGGAAATACTAGTATTAACATACCTGCATGGAATGGGAAGACATTCTCAGTAAAATTGTCAATGTCGAATCCAAACTTCTACAAACTGCACAAGCGGCACGGAAAATGTCACGTGACGAAATTGCTACCCATAATATCATATAGTAAGCTGATTCATAAATAACTCAAATTTATATAAATACCCCCAAAATGGTTATTTTGGTTATTTATAAATAACCATTTCCACAGTTTTGGTTATTTATAAATAACCATTTTCACAGTTTTGGTTATTTATAAATAACCATTTTTCACATTTTGGTTATTTATAAATAACCATTTTCACAGTTTTGGTTATTTATAAATAACCAAGATAGCGAAAGTGGTTATTTGGAAATAACCAAAACTGCAAATTTTATTACATAAACCATACGATGCGAAAAAAGGTTATTTAACTAAATAACCAGATATAGAAACTGGTTATTTGCTAAATAAAGGAAATTTATTGCAAACTTTTTTCCAAATAATAAAAAGACACTTGGCGCTCCATACAGGAAGGCAAACAGATTTCATGCTGAAAATTGAGCAATCTTTTATGTTTTAGCTTTTTTTGTCCATGAACATACAAAAATACAAAAGTAAGTATGGATTTTTTCTTTTGTGTTATATCATTTTGAATCACTATATTTATTATATAAATTATTATAAAATACCAGTGTATCTTTTGCGCGAAAAAGTGATATCTTTCACACGTGAAAATAACATGTCACGTTACCATGGATACCCCCAAATCCTACCAAACGCGCCAACGTCTTTTTGAATGAAAATGGCCGGTGTAAACGAACCAAACTTTGAACTTCAAATAATGGGCGAAAACACTCAAAATACCACATCAAGATTTGCTTCAGTATCCCGAGAAGATGTCGACGATCTCATAGCTAAAGAAGAGAACGAAAATACAAAGAAAAACACTACTTACGACGTCAACATTGTCTTGAAGTTTTTGGCGGAGGAGCGAAGCGAAAGTCGTGATTTAGAAAACATTCCGCCTCTGGAACTCAATTCGTAAGTGAGTTCACTGTTGCTGCTAGGACAAAGAAAAGTAAGGACTACGAGCCAACATCACTCAGAGGAATATTAGCAAGCATTGATAGATACCTAACTCGAAAAGAATACGGTAAAAGGCTGTTTATTGACCAAGAGTTTGCAAGGTTGAGGGAAGCACTGAAAGCCAAACAGAAGAAGTTGAAGAAACAAGGCCGACGGAACAAACCCAATGCAACGACTGCCTTAACAGATAAAGAGATTGATATTATACAGTATAAAAGTGAGAATATAATGAGATAATTAAAGAAATGGATAAAACCCGAGGTGGAATCTACAAAAAAGAATGTGGTAGCTGTACACCTCGTGCTACCAGAGGTTCTGGTTGTTATCAAGAAGCATCTTGGTCATGAAGGGTGCTTCAATCAAACAAAGCTAAGAAAAGATATTGTACAACACAAAGGTGCATCTATTGACCATTCAGGGTCCTTTGAGAGTGTCCAAAAGCGTTGTATGAAAATTCCAAGGGATGCAGTCGCTTTGGAGGAATTAAATATTCTTGACAAAGGTGAGAGAATGTTTTTAATCTGACTGCATTGATTGTTTCCCCATTAAAGATCGCAAATATGATGTTTTCTGGATCATTCATCAAAGAGGAACCAACGTCTAAGTATAAAATCTCTGGTCAACGTACATTCCAAAAAGCAATGTTCAATTGAATCCTCTTCATAACAGAAGCAACATAGCGAGTCAGAGGCCAAATTAGAACGATAGAGCTCTTTTCTTGTGAATACAATTCGGTGTAAAAGTTTGAAGTTAGATTGACGTACTTTGTTGTCTTTACACAAGGAGTTAACGAGATTTACTGACTTATTGCATTCTTCTATTGAAGGTTTGGCAAAAAAATCTGACCATTTTTTAAAACCCGTGGGGGTGTATCTGTGGCTGGATAATAAGAGATTGTAGTAATTTTTGCTTTTCATTTTTTTTAATTTGATTGATCTTTCGCTATTTAAAGCGTAACCATCCGACGACAGAAAATATTTTTTGTAGATTTCATAATTACTAGCTTTAACAATTGTTTGCTTTGGAATGGCCCTGGTTATCTGGTAGAATTGAAGAAAATTTGTTTTTAAACTACTATACTTCAAGGAGAATTCTTTAAAGCTTATTAAGGCACCATCCTGACCAATTAAGTCTTGAACAGATATGACTCCATATTTATACAAGAATTCCAAAAAACCGGTTCATTCCCTATTAAAATATCTTTGTTGTTAAAAAGAATAAAAGCTTCAACTCTACTCATTCGAAATTGGTCTTTGAGTTCTTTAAAATAAGCAAGTAGATTTCTATAAAAAATGGGGAGACTCTTCTTTAGCTTCCTGATTACTATCAGCGCTGCTGGCAAGGACACCCAAGCAATGGCTGAGGCTATCATAACTCTCTTCGTTGTTACTACGTCATAATTGCATTTTAAAAGAAAATTAAGACCTCCATATCTTTTAAAGAAATACTCTGGTATCCATTTCCAGTTTTCATCCCCTGAYTTAAGCAGTCTACCTATCCAACTAAGTCTGAGTGCTTTGTTCATTAAATAGATATTTACCATTCTTAGGCCACCAAGACTATAATCTTGATAGATAATGTCTCTTTTGACTTTGTCTTGCTTATTGCTCCACAAAAATTTAAAAATTATTTTATTCACTTCYGATAATATATATTCTGGAGTGTTCAAAATTGACATAGAGAATATTATTGACTTATTCCCAGTGATTTTACAATTAGGGCTTTGCCGTATAGTGTGAGGTCACGTGCACTCCACATATTGAGTTTGGTTTTCATTTTCAACAGTTTAGATTGGAAATTGTAGTTGTCATTTTCCTTATTGTTATAAGAGGAATAGATTCCTAAAATTCGTATTGGATCAGAAGTCCATTTTATGCCGAGTGGTTTTTGCTTTGAATCCTTTAGACTACCCATCCATAAAGCTTTTGTCTTTTTCTTATTTATTTCTAAACCGGTTAATTTGGAGTTTAGGTCAAAGAATTCTAGAGCTATTTTTACAGAATCAATATCTCTACAAAATAATGTAGTATCATCTGCCAACTGGCTTAGCACAATTTCTTTGTCATAAATGTCTATTCCGCTAACACCTGGGGTGTTTTTTACCCCACAAGCTAATATCTCTGCGCATAGAATAAAAAGGAAAGGTGACAAAGGACAGCCTTGTCTTACCCCTCTTGAAACGTTAAAAAAAGCAGTTGAGAATCCATTGTTTAAGACTGCGGATTGCACGTTTGTATACATGATGTCTACCCAACGAGTTATGTAAGGCCCAAAATTGAATTTCTTTAGTGTTTGCCTAATGAAGGTCCACTCAAGTGAGTCAAATGCTTTTTTAAAGTCTATTGCCAAGAGTATTCCAGGCTGTTTCTTTTTGTCCAAGTATTCCATTACATCATTTATTAATCTGATGTTTTGACCTATATATCTGTTTTTTACAAAACCTGTTTGATCACAATGAATTAATGACTGCAAAACTGTTTCGATGCGTTTCGCTACTAATTTGGCTATTATCTTATAATCTATGTTTAAAAGAGTAATAGGTCTCCAATTCTCTACAAGAAGCGTGCTACAGTCCTCTTTRGGGATAAGAGTTATTACACCCTGTCTTTGTGAAACACTAAATTCTCCGGTTTCAAAAGATTCTTCATAACCATTTTGTAGATCATCCACAACTTCATCAAAAAAAACTTCATAAAATTCCTTAGTTAGGCCATCTGATCCTGGAGTTTTATTATTCGCAAAAGACTTCAAGATATCTCTCAACTCATTTCTAGTTAACGGTTGTTCTATTCTGCATTTTTCATCTTCGGAAAGGGAATTGAGTGGTAGGTTCTTAACAAGGTCACTGAATGGCTTGCTTTTGTCTCCTTTTGACTCGTAGAGCTCTCGGTAGAAGTTTTCTATTTCTTTCAAAATTCCTTTTTCATTAATGAGTGAGGTGCCGTCTTCTAGTTTAAGCTCCGTAATTACTTTTCGATTATAATTCGTTTTCTCAAGGTTAAAGAAATATTTAGTAGGTTTTTCTCCTTTTTCGGCCCAGGTTGA